TTCACCCTCTAGGCTTTTCTCCTGATGGTCTCAGGTGCTGTAGCACCTTCTCTGCCATCACAATTCTAGCCACATCAAGGTTCAGTCCAAGGACACATCCACAAACCCGACTCTGCCGGAGAAGTGCCCTTCCTCCTTGGGCTATCATGCTTATTTCTCTAGCTCCTGTTTCCACTGCCCTGCATTCTAGAATACGGTTTGTATATCAGTCTCTCCTATCTATCTTCCACACAGCTTTCCATTCAGAGAGAGAGCCTTATTTACCTCTGATCCCCATAGAACTCTCACAAGAAAGATTCAATGTCTGTTGCATAAATTAGTGAAAACTCCACAAACATATTGTCCAAAGCAAAATCTCACCCAGTTTTCTTCCGCCTGTTCAGATGTACTCTGTTTATCTTCCTAAATCAACCTATCTTCAGGCATAAGTCAGGAGAGAAACTAATGAGAGAATTCACATTTTTTGAGCTATCATACAGAACAGGTGAAGCCAGAATTATTGACTTCACTGGACAGATTAGGAAAAGGATGGAAAAACCTTTTATGTCACATATGTAGCAAGCAGCAGGGCAGAGACTTCAGAGCAGAATATCTGATTCCAAAAACAGAAGACAAAATTCTTGCCCTCAAGAAACTTATGGTCTAGTTGGAACTATAAAACAAATACAATAAAAGACAAATAACTTATCCAGAGTGGAGTTTCTCACCCTTACCACTATTGATATTTGGGGCTAGATAATTCTCCATGTGTGAGCTGTCCTACATGCTATAGGATGTTTAACAGTAGATCTGTCCTCTGCCACTTGATGCCAGTAAGCACTCACTCCGCCCAACCCTGTTGTGACAACCACAAATGTCTCTAGACATTGCCCTGTAAAACCACTGATCTAGAGCAACTGCCAAGTTTATCTCTCAACCACTGCAATCATATAACCTCACCATTAGGATCGTTTCCCCACCTATTCTCAGACATAGGTTTGCAATGCCCTCCAGCAGCGTGCTGGACCTTACCCACCCACCCAACTTTATCATTGCATGATTCTGCCTACATTTTCCCTTCAAGCTGAATTATTTTTCATGCTGATGTCTCAGTAGAACATCTTCAAATCCTTTTCAGAATGACACAAGGTAGGGGTAAAAATAATCCAATCGCAGGACAGGAGAAAACACACATAAGGCCATGTGATTAACCAGTGAATTATCCTATTATTGAAATCTTCCCAAATCCCTTTTCATAACACTGCTATCAAAGTGTGAACCAGAGGCCAAAGGTGGACAAGAGCTATTTCAGTCCTGGCCCTCTTGGTTAGAATGGGCTTCGCCAAAGAGCTGAGCATAAGAGCTATCTGCCCAGGTGTGAGAATTCCAGAAAAAACTCAGGAGTCAAGGGCCAGAGTTGGGAAGAGCCATGAATCTCAACAAGATTTTCTAAACATACAAACTACATTTTTCTACAAACTTTAAAACCAGAAATCTTGTTATTTTCACTTTTTGACCTAAACCTAACTCAGAAATGAAGTTTATTTTGGTCAATTCTAAAATAAAATATAAAAAAATATTATATCCACGAACACAAAGTAAAATGTATGGACAATACCTGGCACATAACTTCTATATAAATGATAGCTATTATTATATATCTTAATTTGACAATCTTTTATATTTAGTCACAGGGTAAAATGGAAGAGGAAGTCTCATTTTACCAAGGCCCAGAAGCAGAGTTATAAGTCCCAAGAATTTACAGCTAGTAAATGACAGTTTTGAACGCAGTCTGATTCCATATTCAAGGCTCATTTTACTGCAATGTGACAACTTCAAGATTAACTTATTGATAAACTTAGACAAGTGCTTCTCCACCGGGGGTGATTTTGACTATCAATGGATATTGGCGATATCTGGAGATATTGACACAACTAGGTGGTAGTTGTGAAGTGCTACTAGCATTTGGTGGATAGAGGCAAGGGATGCTAGAAACATACAACATAGATGACAATCACACAATTTTACGGCCCAAAATGTCAACCTGATGAAGCTGGAAACCCTATCTTAGAGGTTTTTCTATTTTCAGCCAAGAAAATGAAGACCAAAGTACACCTACACTTCAACAAGTACCTTTTCCCCTGTTCTAGCTACCCTCTCCACTTTGAATGGATTCCCTGCCACACCACAGAAAAATGTTGAGCTCTCCGCTACTTCCCCCATTAGACTCTAGAAAAACAAAAAAAGTATGTTCATGCTGACTGCAGTGGCTCACAGCTGTAGTCCCAGCTACTTGGGACGCTGAGGCTGGAAAACCCCTTGAGCCCAGGCATTTGAGTCTAGTCTGGGCAACATTGCAAGATCCCATTTATATTTAAAAAAAAAAAAAAAAAGTTATGTTAATGTGTCACAAGATAGGAGACATGATTACAGAGCAAGGAAGCCAGAAAGTGCAGTGATGTGCTTTCCAAAATCAAGCACAACTGTACTGGCCACTACCCACTCCTCAGGCTTCTGGCTGAGCAGCCCCTGCTTCCAGCAGCCACCAATATTCCTATAGCCGCCTGCTCAGCAGTGATTCCGGCCAGCATCATTTCCTCTAGGGCAGTGGTAATTTACCTCTGACAGTCCTTCTGAACATTCCATGAGATTTTAAAAGAAAAGAAATTTCACAAAGAACAAGTTTAAAAGAAGTTAAATCCCGTCCTGCCAAAGTCTCCATATCTTTTTATTATTAGTTATTATCTCAGATTTCTAAAGCACTTTACAGTTTGGGGAGCATTTTTATATCTACGCCCCCAACTCACTATCTCAAGCATACTATGAAGTAGGTAGAGCAGATATTATCATGCTCCATTCTAGGGCTGTGGAGAGGCCCTCAGCAACAAGGACCACTATTGGACTTGCTCCGCCAGGCTGATGCATTTTGCTGCTTGGCTGATCTTAGTGTAGTCTCTCATTCATTTGTACCTAAAGCATCTTAACTTACTTATGTTTACAAAGCATAAAACTTTTGGCCTACAAAGGAGCTTATCAAAAAGAAACAAGATGCCGGGCGCGGTGGCTCACGCCTGTAATCCCAGCACTTTGGGAGGCGAGGCGGGTGGATCACGAGGTCAAGAGATCGAGACCATCCTGGTCAACATGGTGAAACCCCGTCTCTACTGAAAATACAAAAATTAGCTGGGCATGGTGGCGCACGCCTGTAGTCCCAGCTACTCGGGAGGCTGAGGCAGGAGAATTGCCTGAACCCAGGAGGCGGAGGTTGCGGTGAGCCAAGATCGCGCCATTGCACTCCAGCCTGGGCAACAAAGCGAAACTCCGTCTCAAAAAAAAAAAAAAAAAAAAAAAAAAAACAAGATATATGATAGACAGTAGTAGAGAGGCTGGAGAAGGGTAGACTATACACCCAAACTGATTTATGTAAGGCATTTTAAAATAAAAATTCCATCAGACTTTCACACAGTAAACTAGTTCATAACATTTTTCCTTTCCTAATCACAAGCATCATAATTCATCATTACAACATTGGCCCAGTTCTCCAGGGAAAGACCTGCACAGTACACATCAGGAAATGCTCTTGGAGATCAACAGGAGAAATGAAACTAAAACTCAAGGCTTCTGCTTTCATGCACAGTAAAACTTCATCTTGATAAATATTATGAAAACCTCAGCTTTCTTAGCCATTTTAGCCAATATTTCTCACATACTCATCGTGTGGAAGAGGTTGCTCAATGCAGCAGGGTATACAGACGAGACTGAGGCAGTTCCTACCCTGGGGGTGTATGGGAAGTACCCCTAACCCCTTCCACGCAAGGCGAAGCACAGAGACAGTGATACAGGAAATCTACCGGGTTAACGCAGAACGAATGGTTTCCGAAGAAACACATGACCTCACCTAATCCCTGAAAAAATGGGAAAGATGACACATAAGAAGATGGAAGGGGAGAGACGTGGCAGGAGGTGAACACAGACATTATCAATTCAGTTTAGTTGTGGTAGTAGAGAGCATCCAGGGACCAAGTTCAAAACGAAAAAGCCGCATGTTCACGTATCTATTCTTCTTGCTCTTAAACAGTAGCACCCTCTAGTCGCATTGCAAAGTAGAAATGAGGAACAAGACAGCATCAGGGTGACCCTTTGCCTGTCAGCAGTCAGAGACAGGCCAGAATCAGGCCCTGGGCTGGAGGAGCCTCCCTGGATTGCTTTCTGTGCTACAGTGCTGTCAGCAGAGTGGTGAGGAGGAGGGGGAGCGCGCTTTTTTCATCTCCCTGGGGAGCAAACACCAACTCCTGCAGCAGTTCTGCCAACAAGGCAGAACTATGACGAAACTGGTTACCACTGGCTTCTCTGTATCAGAGTCAAGATACAGGGTGGATGAATCTGTTCCCCAAGGGTGTGCTTTGAGGCCACTGACGCAGAGCTAAGGAAGCCCCTCTCTTAGGACACACCTGTGCCTTATCCACCTGATGCCCCAGCTCGGCCTTAACCGTGGATCCCTCGGCGTGGTCCCTCCTAAGGCCTCCTATTCAGGGACCACAATTCCCCGACTCGAGGCACTGTCACCAGATCCAGAGGGGCAGTAATAGTCCCTCTTGCAGATTTCAGATCTTCGCCCTGTCACTGAAAGGCCACAAGGGGGATTTCGTCCCGCTTTCACCGTCAGGACCATCTGAGCACTTCCCGGACGATGCAGACCAGTGGCAGGAACTGGCCGGCACCAAGGCCCGCTCCTGGGCGCCAGGCCGCGGCGCCTCCGAGGACCACAGGTGGACAGCGGAAGGCTCAGAACCAGGGCCCGGGGCGAAGATGGCCTTCGCTGCGGTCAACCCGGAGCACGTGCTGGGGCTCACCGGCCTCACCGCGCGGAGGACAAAGTCCGCTCCCGGCGGCTGCTTGGTTTGGGCACCGAGTACCGGGCGTCAGGGGAGAGGCAGGCAGGGCTTGCGCACACCCCGACACGACTCCAGACCCGGACCCGACTCCGGGCTCGGCTTCCCGCGACCCCTGCGCGCACTCACCATTGTGGTTGACCCAGGTCGGCTTCAGGAGCTTCATTGTTCGGCCGCCGCCGCCGCCGCCGGGCTGAGGCGAGAGCCGGGTCCCTCAGCGCGCCCGGGCCATGGAGCCACCGCCGCCGCTTCCTCCCGCGCCGCCCGCCCTCCGGCCGCCGCCCGCCCCGCGCCCTCAGGGCCGCCGCGCCATCGCCGGCCCGCGCCCCCCTCCGCCGCCACAGCCGCCCCCAGCGCTCGGCCGCCGCCGCCGCCACCACAGCCGCATCCCCTGCGCCGCTCCTCCTCAGGCGGCTCCCGGGCAACGCCGGAAGTCACGGCGCGCACCTGCCAAATCGCCCCGGCGGGAAACCGCTCCCCACGCGGACTGGGCCGCCCCGGCTCCTCGGCGGGCAGGGGCCTCGGGTAGGGCCGGGGCGCGGGCGCCCAAGAAGGGGCGGTTCGCCTGGACAGCGGACAGCAAGCGGGGCCTGGAGTTGCAGCCTGGGCCGGCCGCAGAGACAGGCGGGGCCCAACTGGCGTGGACTGCCCGTCACCACCTCTGCCTCGCCAGTCTTGAGTCTGACTTATTAACCAGCTTCCGTCATCGATCAACACGCGCTATTGGGCATCTGACGAGCGCCAGGCTCCACGCCGGCGCTGGGATGCGACCCGGGCTTCGGACTCGCCGAATGCGGGGAACGAGCCAACCCTGGTGGGGGAGGCTGGGGCGGGCGCATTATTGTAAGATCAGGGGCGTTTGCACAGACTTGAACATTTAGACTCCGACGAGCAGAGGGACCGCCCCCTTGGCCACTCCGGCTGCACTGTAGGGCCGAGGCTCGCGCGAGGGCGCAGATCGACCAACCGTTTAGGAGCTGGCTGGCGAGGCTGTGCCCGCTGCAGAAGCGCGCTCGCAGCCCAGGGCGGGGACGGAAGGGAGGACTCCGAGCCGCGCGAAGCGCCAGGCGCCCGAGTGTGCGCCGCGGTCGCCCGAGGCGGGGCTGCGTCGGGGGCGGGGACAGGCGCGTCCCAGCCCCCGCAGCCGGAACACCGGAGCGCGGGGCGGGAGGACCTCCGCGGGAGGCACCGCGGGCCGGACTGTGGAGGGGCGCAGGCCCGGAAACGACAAGAGTAGCCATGACTACCTCCGTGCTGCGAGGTGTCTCGCTAGCTCTGCGCCCGACGAGCGGGTGAGTGCGGACGCCGGCCGGGTAGCGGTGCCCAGGGCGCATGCGGGGTTTCCGCGTCTGTTGGCTGCGACTTGCTTGTCCTCCCTGCTCGCCTCCCAGTGCACGAACGTCTCAGGGATGAGCCATGTGATCGTGACTCTTATGGGTAACAGTCTGAGCACCCTGGCGAGCAGGGGTCCTGCCCAAGTCTCAGTGGTGTGAAAGAAAGCGTTTGAAAACTCTCCCACGTTGACCTTGCTGTCACACCTAGTTACAAGTGCACCGCGTTCGGGGGCATTGTAATTTCTTCTTTTCCTGTGAAGTGAGAGAGTCATATTTATTTATTTGTCTTATTTATTTGAAACGGAGTCTCGCTCTGCCGCCCAGGCTGGAGTGCAGTGGCACGATCTCGGCTCACTGCAACCTCTGCCTCCCCGGTTCAAGCAATTATCCTGCCTCAGCCTCCGGAGTAGCTGGGACTACAGGCGCGTGCCACGACGCCCGGCTGATGTTTATATTTTTAGGAGATGGCGTTTCACCATGTTGCCCAGGCTGGTCTTGAGCCCCTGACTTCGTGATCCACCTACCTGCCTCAGCCTCCCAAAGTGTTGGGATTACAGGCGTGAGCCACCGCGCCGGCCCTGGAGAATCAGATATTTATACACACTCTTGTATCTTTCAGGCTTCTGGGAACTTGGCAGACGCAGATTAGGGACTCCCACCAGCGAGCTTCATTGTTGTCCTTCTGGGAACTTATTCCCATGAGGTAAAATTCAACCGCGGGCCTGATCTCTGGGGGTACACGTGTCAGATGATGTGTACAGCACAAAGCAAGACTGCTGGATGTGTGGTCTGCAAAGTTAACATCCTACAAAGTTTCTCAGTTAAATGTAGGCCGATGCTTTTCTGTCTTTTCAGCCTTTTCCATACCAGAGATTGCTGTTTGTAATTTTTAAAATTTGGGCAGTTTCAATAAGTAATCTCCTTGAAGGGGTTCTTGTGTGTTATATATTTATTTATTTTGAGGCAGACTTGCTGTATCGCCAGGCGCCAGGCTGGAGTGCACTGGCGCAATCTCGGCTCACTGCTGTCTCCGCCTCCTGGGTTCAAGCAATTTTCCTGCCTCAGCCTCCCGAGTAGCTGGGACTACAGGCGCGCGCGGCACCATGCCCAGCTAATTTTTGTATTTTTTAGTAGAGACGGGATTTCACCATGTTGGCCAGGATGGTCTCATCTCTTGACCTCCTGATCCGCCCACCTTGGCCTCCCAAAGTGCTGGGATTACAGGCCTGAGCCACCGCGCCCGGCCTCTTGTGTTTTAAAGGGCACAGCTTAAATTACTGTTTCTCCATGAGTCTTCCTCTTTCCTGCCCATTCTGAGGCCCTGGAGAGTGTGGGGAAGGTACGAGTATTAAAGGTGTTTCCACCTGGCAATCTCGACTTTCTGAATCTCCTAATTCAGTCAGTCTTGATGGTAGAGGATTTGATTATTCTTTTTTTGAGACAGAGTCTGGAGAACTCTGTCATCCAAGCTGGAGTGTAGTAGTGTGATGGTGTGATCTCAGATCACTGCAATCTCCATCTCCTGGGTTCAAGCAATTCTCCTGCCTCAGCCTCCCGAGTAGCTAGGATTACAGGTGCCCACCACCACACCTGGCTAATTTTTGTATTTTTAGTAGAGATGGGGTTTCACTATGTTGGCCAGGCTGGTCTCAAACTCCTGACCTCAGGTGATACCCCACTTTGGCCTCCCAAAGTGCTGAGATTACAGGCCTGAGCCACCTGGCCCAGCACACAAATCAATTTTAATCCTAATGAGCTTCTAATCCAACAGTTTGGCATTTTCACTTTTCAATGTAATCCCAAGGGACACCTGAATCCCAGCACTAAAGATGAACCCTTCCCCTGAATTTATACCCCTGATGCCCCACGTTGCTTTTGTCCTTTTTTTTTTTTTGAGACAGAGTCTCACTCTGTTGTGTAAGCTGGAGTGTAGTGGTATGATCTCATCCCACTGCAGCCTCCGCCTCCCAGGTTCAAGTGATTGTCGTGCCTCAGCCTCCCAAGAGCCTCCTGAGAAGCTGGCATTACAGGTGCGTGCCACCATACCCGGCTAATTTTTGTATTTTTAGTAGGGACAGGGTTTCACCACGTTGGCCAGGCTGGTCTCGAACTCCTGACCTCATGATCCACCCACCTCGGCCTCCCAAAGTGTTGGGATTACAGGTGTGAGCCACCACCCCTGGCTGCTTTTGTACTGTTTCTTGTAGTTGACGGCACCCACACAGTTCTCACAAGTACTCTGGGGTGGAGTACCTACCTCCTCACCACACTGAGTCAGTCACACACAGCTCCCTCCCCCAGTGGAGAGCTCGATATGGGGTACTTACCATCTTGTCTCTCAGTAGGTTCATGAGACTGAAGAGGAAAATATTTAATGTTTTTAATCTATTAGATCAGAACCTATTCGAAAGAAGAAGAAGGTAGATCCTAAAAAAGACCAAGCAGTAAAGGACCGCTTGAAAAGGAGGATCCGAAAACTGGAAAAGGCTAGTCAAGAGCTAATTCCTATTGAAGATTTTATTACCCCTATAAAGTTCTTGGATAAAGCAAGGTAAGGATCCTTCTCTAAGGACGAAGTCCTCAGGGCAAAGGAGTTCTATCAGCTTCAGGTAGTTGTGTCTGTAGTTCACACCTGTGATAGTAATGGGTCAGTAGGCTTGAGCTGGCTAGGCCCTGATGAGCTCTTGCTCCTTTTGGGAGCAGGAGAAAGCATTCCTGGGTGGTATTTTAAATGGCTCTAGGTGGGAAAAAACTTAAAACAGCTGCTCATCCAGGCCAGATGCTTAAGCACTGCTCTGGAGTTCATGTCACTATCATGCCTGAGGAGTCTTGGCTGTTTCTGATCCCTTGGTCCTTGAGTCTGAAGCTCCCGCCTCATCCTGACAAAACCCTTGGCCTCTTGTTTTATCGTGCAGATACCTTTAGTTGGTATTTGTTGGGATTGGACTGTGTTCAGGGTTAGCAGCTCATGCTGCCCTTTGGTAGGCAGTGTACACCATCTATAAAGGGGCAGGTGTCAAAGTCACGTATCACCGAAGGTAGTATTTGCCTGGGGCAGAGGAAGTGCTACCATAGTCTCCTCAGACCATCTGTTCTTCTGACAGAAAGCAAATGACCTTGGTTCCCAGCATCAGTTGCAGCTGCAGCCACATTCAACATTCCATTTCTTAATTTGTTCCAAACTTGTTTTATTTCCTAAGTCCAGTCTGTATCTGGCAATGGGGATACTTGTGTCAGCTGCAGTCACAGACTTCCATGCCAGTGAGGTTGGTAACCCTTAGCTTCTTTGCAGACAGAGGCCTCAGGTGGAGCTCTCCTTTGAGGAGACTGAGCGGAGAGCTCTGCTTCTGAAGAAGTGGTCCTTGTACAAGCAGCAAGAGCATGAGATGGAGAGGGACACCATCAGGACCATGCTAGAAGCCCAGCAGGAAGCTCTGGAGGAACTACGACTCGAGTCCCCGAAACTCCATGCTGAGGCCATCAAGCGGGATTCCAACCTGTTCCCATTTGAGAGGGAAGGGCCACATTACACACCACCAATCCCTAACTACCAGCCCCCTGAAGGCAGGTACAGTGACATCACCAAGGTGTACTCACAAGTGGAGTTTAAGAGATAGACTTGCAGGCAGCCATCCTTAACGTGCTGCCCCTGAGAGTAGGAATGACCAGGGTTCATGTCTGCTTTCCACAGAATCAGGCACGCTGTCTGTCAATAAATACTGGTTTAATCAAAATGCTCCTTCGTCTTGTGTCAGAATTATTTTATTTATTTATTTTTTTTTTTGAGACAGAACCTTACTCTGTTGCCCAGGCTGGAGTGCAGTGACTCCAATCTCAGCTCACTGCAAACTCTGCCTCTCTGGTTCAAGCAGTTTTCCTGCGTCAGCCTCCCAAGTAGCTGGGATAACAGACATGCACCACCACATATGGCTAATTTTTGTATTTTTAGTAGAGACAGGGTTTTGCCATGTTGGCCAGGCTGGTCTTGAACTCCTAACCTCAAGTGACCTCGAGTGATCCACCTGCCTTGGCCTCCCAAAGCAGTGGATTATAGGCATCAGCCACCAAGCCCGGCCAGAATTAAAAG